CTACAACATGGGATTAATCAATGCATGCTGATGAACTTTTATCATAGTTTATAGTTATATGAAAACGAAAGAGGTTAACATTCAACCAGTTATTTTTCATCAGTAGTATTATTTGTGATTTGAATTTTGTGAACGGGAGTTCCTCTTTTGCTATGTTATAAGCCAGGCTTCGGATGCTTTCACTTTCGATTTTGCGATCTTGTCACGTTTTACAATAAAAGATAATTGTCTGTTTTGCTTACTATACACCTTTCACTTTTTAAGACTAAAGCAAAAGATGGATTCATTGTTAGTTTTAATTAACAACAACAATAATAAAGTAAGATACATTGACAAACTAGCTTACAGAACGTTTATTAACAAAAACAAATAAGACGAGGCATGGTGTAGGCTACACCACATGCTGTATTATATAATGACTAATAAATTACAGAACGTTTAGCAAACACTGAGGAATCAAATAAAAAAATAAAAAAATAAAAGAGAGCCTCCATAGCATAATGTGAGGTAAACAGCAAAGATAAACTTTTCAAAATGAAAACAAAAAGAAAAGTAAAACTAAACTTGCTGCCGGTGACAGTGCTTGCATGTTTTTTTCTGCCCACAAGACTTGTTCACCTTCTCTGTTTTAAGAAGCCCCTTCTCACCTTCTCTGTTTTAAGAAGCGGTCTTTTACTTTACTTTAGTGTGAAAACCATCCATTGTCTCCTCAATATTCGCGTAACTTTTGCTGCGCGCATAGCGCACCTTCGCGCTCCTGCTGACACGGCGAGTATAAACTAGGCTCTACACTCTAAGCGCTGCGCAGTTCAAACGTGTTGCCGTTTGATGTTTTTCATATGCAACAGAAATGGCAGCGCTTATGAGTTGAACAACGCGGTGGTCGCGCCAGTGCAACCGCTCACAAAATTTAGTCACACAGGCAGAAAAAATGCTCGCAGTCTGGAGTCCTGCAATTAATAGTAAATATAACCAAAACAGGTTATTATTATTTTTTTATATGAATAATAAAATAAATATAAGGAAAACTCGCCCACTCGATTTTGTGATATACTTTAATTTTGTAGTCCGTATGAAAAGGTGCATTTCTATTAAAGGCACGTCTATGTGGAGATGGCGAGTCAGTGTCGACATTCAGCAATTTCATCTTTGCACCCGACACTGACTCAGAAAGCACTAGTTTATTAATAAATAATTAAAATGTCTTCTTTTCCCCCGACACGTTCATAATCACTTTGCCGGTGCTTTGAGGCAATTGCTTTATGCGCGAGCTTGAGCGCGGAATAGGCTATAGCCTAATACGCCTGCATATATATTAAAGAATGGTTAATATATCGTTATATTAATCAATTTAATATAACGTGCGACCAGTTGACTAGAAAAATCTTTAGTCGGGACCAAGCGGCAACCTTCCAGTCTCTCTCGTGAAACCAACACGGAAGTGACTAAAACTGCAATTCATCGACTGGCCGCTAGAGGCTGGCTCCAAAAGGGAGTTTTTTTTTGTTAAAATGCTGTAAAATGCCCAACTTTACAACAGAACAAAATATGTTTACAGCCTGGTACAAAAAGTAGTTTTGGTCTATATAGCTAATTTTGCCCTTCATGACAACTGTGAGGGGGGTGAATTTTTTTATAACTCATCCGTTTAAATTATATTAAGCCTTAAAGTTCTGCATAATTAAGGGCGTGGCCACTTGAGCGACAGGTGGATTGCCGCTGCTGTCACCACCGTCGAGCTAGGTAGGCGTGGTTTCAGCAACCAGCTCCCGCCTCTTTGCCCATTTTTGATTATCCGGGAGTGACGCGCTGCCAAGATGGCGACGGCCGGCTCCGCCCACTTTGAGCTTCAAAAACACTCTTCGGAAACCTACGGGTGACGTCACGGACACTACGTCCATGTTTTTATACAGTCTATGGTCGGGACAGACCTACTTAGCGCAAGAAAGCGCTCCATTTTTAAAATAAAATGCTATAATGACATTACGAAAAGTTGCATTGCACGAGTTATGCATGCATAAGGAGTCAAATGTTTATTTTTTTTCTTAAATACAATAGGCTATAGTATATAATTGATTCCAGGAAAAAATCTGTAGGGGTGCTATGGGGGTGCTTTTTTCTTTCTTGGGGGTGAAGCACCGCCCATGGGTAGGTGGCAGTTGTGTAGGTTGAGCTGTATATATCCTTCATGATGCACATCGATGACTCGCAAGAGCAAACGTTTGGGTAATTGTGAGGCTGACACCAACTGTCTGGGTCTGTCCATACCTCATTGAGCTTCACTGAGCCTGGACCCAAGGGTATGCTAGACAACAGACTTATGTCTCATCCCCAACCTCCATCACTTAGGGACAAATGGGGTTGGTGGGGAGACCAGAAAACAGAAAGAGAGGGGAGGAAGGATTCTGCCTAAGATTGTGGATGAGAAAGTCTACTAAACACTACATATCGGCCTTTTTCAAGTAAAAGACCCTCTTCATAACAAGAGTCCTACTCCCACACCCACAATAGGCTTATATTTCCAAAGAACAAAATTTCTTGTTTGCTGAGCTGGCTAATATGGCAGTCATCTTGGAGTGGGATACTGATATAAAAATAATAGTAGTCAGCTGATCATGTGATCTCAACTTGGCCCCCATGATGCAAGCCAGTCCAAGTACAATAAAATAGCTTTTATTAGCCTACAGATTTGACTGCATTCTTCATCTCATTTGAGTGTTCATAATCTTAATCATATTTTATACTATTTCTCTTGTTGTGTCTTGAAATTCTAACAGATTATTTGTTTCCCACAGGCTTACTGAGTTTAGGTGATTAGATTCATTTAGCACCAGAGGGAGAGCAGCCAGAGGGGGGAGCTCCTGTATCTCTGTATTTTATTTGGGTGGAGGCTACCACAGAGGGCTGATCTCAGGATTTTTGTTCCTGATTTGGGCCTTAAAGTATGTCTTGAGGTTAGTGGATAGATAGCAGGTCATAGTACAGTCTACTATAAGTGCTTGGTTGGAAAAATAATCTAATTCAGCTTCAAGTCTGCTAGCTCTGAAAGTCAATGTTGTGGTCCTTTAAATAATAAACTATTACCTACAGGGCTCCTCTGATAGTAAACATGTTTAATAATTATCATAAAACAAATACAAAATAATATTAAATTGTAAAAGGAATAATACTGCATTTTTAATAATAATTAAACAAATCTCATCTGAAAAATTGTATCTGGACAACATGAAAAACAAGTCTGCCTTCCAGTTCAAATGAGGCAACAGTTTCAATTGCTTCCAGCCCTTGCTTTTATCTTTGAAACGAGGCCACTCATCCTAACACCACTTCAGTGATAAAGCCAGAGGATCAGGTTTGAACAGTTGAATCTTAGTACTGAGAATCACAGATTGCATTCTGAAATAAATCGAAGTTTGGCCTTTCTGCCCTCTAATATTTTGTTTAAGCCCAGTGGCATAATTCAATAATTCAATTCTATAAATCATACTTCATTCAGGTTAGCAGTGTTGTAGCTTTTCTTTTGTGGCAGCCAAAATAGACAAATTAATATTTAAGATTCAAGTGCATTAAACAGTGATGTAGAGCAGGTGAGTATGAATGCATACCTGTCCAATATGCATGCTGGTATCACAGGTCAGAGGCCGAGCAGATGTGAGGTCATTAGACCCCAGCATTGTTGAGATGATGCCATTCTGGTCTACTTTCCTGATCATGGTACCATCAACAAAGTAGATGAACCCATTCTTATCCACAGCAATGCCTATGTAGAAAGAGAGGGTGGGTGGATGGGTGGGGGGCAGATGTGACAGCTTAAAATAGACAAACACACTGCACCTACAAACAGGCGAAGCACGACTGGTACACGTCACGCTTGCCCCTGTGGTTTCCAGGTCACTGAAGACGCAGCACTCTGTGAATTATTCACAATGTGCTTTTGGGTGGTGAATTATTCCTGAGCTAAGAGTGATGTTGAGAGCAAGTAATAAAGGTTTTTTTTTTAACCTAGTCAGCGCTAAAACTAAGAGGCAAGGAACTGAACCCTCAGGCTCTCTGATCCTCACTAGGTCTCTCATTGAAATGTATGTGTCTGTGTGAACTACTTAAAGGCTGGCTGTTGCTGTGTTGATATGCTTAACTAAACCAATATTTAAAAAAAGCAAAAGGGGTTTTTATATTATTTGTGTTTTGTGTTATTATAGTGTGTCATGTTCAGCTATAGTTTTCGACACATTGAATATTTATAGTGTCCATATTGATTTGCGGGTGTTCAGTCTTTTTACCTTTGGGTCCCAGCAGTAGCGCCTCAGTGGCCTTGCCTCCATCCCCACATCGAGCCTCGTCAAATGGCAGACACTGCTCTCCGGTCCCTGCCACAACCTCTGCGTTCTGCAGCAGCTCTTTGGCTCCTGTCAGGGCTTTCGGCCTAAAGATCCGTCGTGAGTTGGTGTCCGAAACATACAGCTGACCTGTCATCGGGTCTGTTGCTAGGAAGTATCTATGTGCAGGATTGTTGCTAACAGGACAAAGGTAGAAATTTCACAATTACAAGAAGAGCAGTATAGTATAATAGCACACAAAAACAGTCATGATTTATAAACAAACAGATATAGCAACAAATGAATGGGTGAATAAGCAATGCTTGAAGTGCTTGAAGCAATGAATAACTGAACAGATTTAAGTTGGGAAGAGATTGTAGCATGAAAAACTTATTTTTTTTCAGCAGATGTCTCAGTTTCTTATGACTGTGAACTATTATAAGCGCAAAAAAAATTGCTACCACAAATTTTAAGATATAAGTTGAAGGCCTACAGATGTATAGAAACATGATCTCAGGCTATTGTGTTTTATTGTTGAAGAGAATGTACTTGTTTGGCCCGGCCAGTTAGAGGGGAAAGGAGTTGAGCACTCTATCAGAGTGAACCTAATGCGTTATGACTGGAAATCACTATCGTCTGACACAACTATAATGATGCCCACCAAACTGTCACATCCTTTCAATCATTTGCATTTCCCACCCGCACCCCTACGACAGAGGAAAAAGCCAGCAAGCAACATGAAGTGATGTATCTGTTGAAAAAAATCAACAACTTGTCGCAGTGTTTCAATTAGAAGCGACTAAGGACTAAGAATAGCACAGACACCTTGCAACGGGGTTGCCTGCCGGGCAGGCCATTTTCGATATACATGTTTTGAAACAGATGTGGGCTGCTGTAGCTGAAGCTTCTGCTTTGTACAGTAACGGTCTGCTAACTTATTTATATATATTTTTTAAAAGTTCCAAAAAACAGGGTTCCATGTTTGAGCTGATCCTTTGTTTGGTTATTAGATATTTGCTCTGTTCCAAGACATAGTGTGCTGCCTATGGATGTAGGATTTTAAGGCATCATAGGCATGCTCCTGAAGTGAAGGTCACCTAAGGTACCTCATTTTAGTGGTGTTTAGATGGCAGCAAAGAAGCTCATTACTCATTACTGAAGTGTGTTTACAAAAAAGAAATGAAAAGCAATATACAGTAGATGTGCTAATTACACTGTTCATAAGTTGAATCAGCATGCTTCCAGCAACTCAGAAAAGGGGCTAAGCAGGTCTCAGGGTGATGTTAGTTACTGTTGCTATGTGGCACAGACGCCACATTGCACTTAAGAGTAAATAAAAATCAAACAGGCTAAAACTATTATACCATAAAACATTTTGATGTTCCAAATGGAAACAAATGTAAGTTCTGGGAGTGAAGCAGGGAGGGGAAAGACTTAGAGTTGGCTTGGTTTAAGGACACTGAGGTTTGGGGTCAATAATCTCCTGAGTTTATGAGGCTCTGTGGAGCATTACGATATATGGGCATGCCTTGATGACACATACAGATGGGCCGAGACATCTGGGACAAGAGGACGACGAAGGCTAGCCATTAGGTGGCTTGTAATGCTCATCAGCCAGCAACAGTGGTTGTGAATTAATAACTCTTAGCACTTATTAATTCAGAGTCATTAATGCTTAATGGGACGTTTTTGTTTCTCAGAAGCATTTAGAAATATATTGATGTGTCTAAAAATGCGGCCATTTAATTACTTAAACTGAACTATTTTGCCCACACACGGTGTAACCATATAGCGAAGTTGGTCTCTAATTCCATTTTAAATGATTTGGTAGGAGACAGAGAGGAATGGTTAGCATGTCCATGGGATTCCTAAATTTATACCTGGTTGCAAATTTATTCAACAGGCTCTAATGGCTTTGGCTCGCCCACTTCAAATTACTTGCACTTATTTCCATTCATGAGCTCCATACGTCTGTGATTAAACCCTACAGAGGTTTCAAACAGAACTTAATGTAGGATATCAACATCTACTGCGCTCTGTACATCGCCCCTCAACTGGAACTATTCAAACATGTGTGGGATGATGAGGGCCTATTTGCAGTGTTTATCAGGAACTCCTGCTTGTCCAGGGCAGACACATTTGGAGTGGTTAACTTAAGTACTGGAGACCTGTCAAGAGAGGTTTATGTCCTGAATCCTTACTGAGAAAACAGGTCTACACCAGTGTCAGCTGAAATGGACGTCTGTGTATTTTACTTAAACCTTTTCTGACCAATTTGGCCACAGAATCAAAGCGCAGACGAAATTCAAAAAACAACCTTGTTCTTTCTAAGCTACATGAGGTATCTTTTGTCTTTCTGGTATATGCAATATGCCACATTAAAAGAAAATATTTTACTTGTGTTCTACATAAATGCCTCAGCTAAGCTACCCTTATATCCACAAAAGTGGAGAAAGAGATTTCACAGGGCTGAAAGGAATTTCTCATTGTGTTGGGAAGACTTGGGAACTTTGTGATGTTGATTTATAAACCACTGACATACTAAGATTGTGTTTGAAGAAAAATGATAGCCACAATGTTCAGTTATTCTAACGATTTTGTCAGGAATTCAGATCTGTTGTCATAATCTGTACAGTAGTGCTTTCAAGGGATGTACTTCATTCCTGCACCATTAACAAAAACATCTGAAGAACTTCTCAATATATAGTGAAGTCCAAAAGTCTAAGACCACATTGAAAATCTTAGAAATAAGATGCAATTTAATCATGGAAATAAAGTTTATGATTTAAAAACGGACCAGCTGAGTTATTTGTATAAAAGGTCAGACTTCCTCCCATTGCACACGCAGGATGCTTTTTGGAAGCTTTTAAAATTATGCTGGTTCACATGTTCAGGATTTACACAAATGTGGAAATCATGCAGCTAGAGTGTATGAAAAACAATTAAACTGCACACTTTTATCAGCATAACAAATTGTTATGCCGATAATATAATTTCTAATTAAAAAACAAACTAGTGGTCTTAGACTTTCGGACTTCACTGTAGAGATTTGGGCAATAAGCTTTAAAGCAAATTATGTGAATTAAATAATACCAAGAAAATCAAACAAACTTATCACAAAATGTCACTGGTACTCCATAAACATCTGGGGCAGATGACACACATTTACATTACTTCTGATGGCATGCAGCAACACTTATGAGGAGACAAACACTTGTATAAAGAATGGCCTGCACCAGACTGAAAGGTCCTGTGCATCCATTAGAATGGCTTACCTATGTCTGAAATCTTTATTTCTTAGGGTAGCAGAGGAAAAAATAGCAGAAGAGAGATAAGAAAAGGGAGAGAGAGTAAAACAGCAGAAGCACATAAATCTTGTCAAGAAAGGGAAAAAAACAGGTGTGCATATATTAATCTCTCCTCCTCACACATAGATGGCAAATAATGCAGTAAGACGGGTCTGTTAACTGTACTTTGTCTTGTTTCTTAAACAGAGTTAGATGTGTGAATATTCCACCTGGGAACTGAAGAACAGTATGAGCTCACATCACATGCTGAGGTTAACTGGCCCATAATAGCAAATTGATTGTGTCCCAGACAATGAAAAGCAATTCCTTAAACATTGCCTTTAACCGTACAGGAGCCACGCTGTGAATATGTCACACAGAGGACCACCGCTTCATTTGCTTCATCCATGTGTTTTACTGCTTTAATGAAAGAATTTAATTTACAGGAGCAGCAGACACACAAAGATGATACTGAAACCTGTTAAGTGCTGGGCCATTTATAGAGACCTCGTGTGAGCGCACATATGAGAGATTTTTTGCGCTGGTATCAAGTTGGGGGCAGATGGAAGGCACAGAAGATGATAAGATAAGGTTAAAAATACAGTAAGTGTCAATGACAGAAAGACACAAGCAGGAAAAACATGAAATGGAAAATGAGAGGCAGCTAAAAGGACGAGACAGACGATTTAGGCCAAAAGAGAAAGGAATAAGAGATAAGGAAAGAGAGGAGATAAGAGGTAGCGGTCATGTATCACCGCAATGGCTAAATGAGGTGCTGCAGGAGAGTGACATGGACGGCCCTCTAGGCCCCGACGAGTGTGAGGGAAGAATTTATGATCATTTCAGCGAGAGTCTATAAAAGACCTGAGACACGGCTCTGATTTCATATAGAGGAACCCTGAGAGCACTTTGAAAGAATATCTACGTGTCTCTTTCTCTGTGGATGTGTGAGCCCACTCTAGATCTAAGGAAAGGAATGACAAGTCTTGAGGTTTGAAAGAAAAGGGCACATGTGTTCACCTCATGCTTGTAATGTATCAGCTCTGCACTTCATGGTGTTTAGATTATAGACACACTGTGATCAGTCAGGAGGGAATATAGTTTGAATATTTCAGATAGTTTAGATTATTAAATCAATATCAGCATGCTGCACTCTGTATGGTGAAATTAAACTTCTTATAACATTCTAAAAAAATTTTTTCATCTCTTAAAAAAAACACTGAACAATCAAAACTAATTTTTATATTACAGAGATGGGACATTTGACTGCTTTTTGGAGATATTTTCCTGTTCAAGGGGAAATCTGTCACCATTTACTAACCCTCATGTCACTCCAAACATGAATGTGTTTTTTTTATCTTCTGAAAAACATTAAAGGAGTTCATTTTATATTATGTGCAGACTGCTCTTTTCCATACAATGAAAGTGAGTGGAGACTGGGGCTGTTGAGCTTCATATGACAAAAGAAAAAGAAAAACAGCTAAGACATGCAAAATAACTCCTGTGTGTTCCACAAAAGAACTAAAAACTTAAAAGTACTTTTTCAGTGATTACTCGTGTCATATATTTACATTTTAGCTTGCATTAAGAGTTTCAAACATTTTAAAAATGCATTTTTATAATATACAGATGTTGCGCCGCCAGTAGTATGCAAACTGAATGACAAGATCTAAATTTTTAATGTCAAATGAAATTGAAATTAAACTCAACCACAATAGATTTGGTGGCATATAAATGTCCTGAAACCAACAAAATACAATTACATTTCAACAAAAGAACAAACATACTTAGAATCAACAGCTTCTTTAAATTATAAGATTCGAGGCTATATTAAAAATCTCTGATTAATCTCTGTGAAGAAACAAAGAGTTTAGTTTAGTTGGCAGAGATACTCAAAGAAAAACACAGTTATTTCTCTGAGCCCTGTAAATAAACACACACACAGACCCGCACACACACAGCCTTTGATGTGGGCTGGACGAGCTCAATAGAAGGCTTGTGGTAGATCATAAAAAAGCGAGGTATGGGAATATGCATTTCTTCTTGGCTTAAGGGGGCGAGAGCACCAGTAATGAGTCACCCTCTACAGACGAGAACTCTGTCAGTGTCAGCACGTTCTTTTCAGACCACATGAGCCTTATACCGGGCTGAGTGCCCCATATTCCAGTCTAACAATTTATCATCTACGTTCATATCATTAGCACAAAGGCTACATTATACTTTCTTTTATACCTCTTTTAATTTCCTTCCATTCGTCTTGTACTAGCTTGTGTTTCTTACCTCAGCTCCATAACACTGGTAACGTTTCCCGAGGGAAAGATGCGTCTGATGTAGTTGAAGTCACCGACAAACAGGCTGCCATCAGATCCACAGGCGAGGGCCACTGGAGCCAGCAGTTTGTTGCCATCAGCTTGGCCATTACAGCTGGGGCAGGAGATGCTCCGCCTGCGCCCATTACCCATGATGGTGCTGATCACTGGAGGCTGCTGGGAGATGAAGACGTTCTCACCGTTGCCTTTGTACAGGATGCCTGCAGGACAGGAAGAGAGGGTTGTGTGGGTGAGCAACTGCATAGTATATCATCGTGGAGCTGAATTTGGAAAGATGAAGAGGCACAATTAAAAATGTATAGCATGACCTAATGAATATGAATAACTGTGATTCTAAATATGTAATATTAATTTATGCGTTTGATATACAATAGTATACAACAGTTAGATGCAATACTCTAATATGATTGGATAAGCAAGTTCACAGTTTGTATGACTACTTGTCTGTGTTTGGAGCGTTCCAGGCAGGCCGTCAGTGTGTGTTGGTCTGTATATATGCATTAATATATATACAGACAAAACATTCACTGACAGCCTGTCTGCAATTCTGCACACAGACATCATGGTGTGTGTGTGTGTGTGTGTGTGTGTACCTAACAATCCCCCCTTCAGCAACCTGAGGATAGGCTTTGCTCAAGGCCAGAAATGTCATAGTTCATGGAAAACCTTTCAGTTATCAGCCTGAATCTTTAACCATTAGACTACACCAAACCAATCAAACAGTAATCAAAGAAAAAGAATGAGCCGTAAAAATGTAATCAGCAATACTCGTTTAGTGAACAGTTTATCTATACAACATCTCATTACTGCTAATAATAACCTATAAATCTCACGCACAACAAGAGATATGTTTAGTTTATTCAGTATTCTACCTCTTTATCCATACCGTTGGCTAAATAGGATATTAAATTACTATTTTTTATCTTTTTAATTAAGTAAATTAGGCAGAAATAAACAAGGAAAAATCAAACTGATATTACGAACAATTAGGAAAAAAGAACTGCTTCATATCTTACGTATTAGCATTGATTGTTAAACAATTAATTTTTGCTTTTGAATATTTTATTCTCAGATGATTTTCACCTTAAGTAATGTTATCAAAGGGTGGTTCACAGAACCGTCTGACACATAGTAATGTGGCATTCTGATAATTCAAGTGCAAATATATTCAGCTGTGAGAAAAGGGGGCAATCTAGCAGCAGTTCAGAATCGATAAACAGCCCAAACACATGCTGCCAGAATGATTATATGGCACAGGCAACTTAAGCAAATCGATTAATCGAATCACATGATGAAATGACCGTTGGGCGCATCACAGTAAGTTTTAAAAATAAAAACTACATCAATATATCTTTTTGTTTTTGTTCCCTAGTATTCATTCCTAATGAAAAACTAATACTCATCTTCACACACACTGTTAAAATGATTTCACAAACTGCTGTGGATTCTATTCAGACATTTGTAAACTTGTTTAAAAAAATGTGAAATATACCTTTTATTTTGAGAACATTTGCCTGTAAAAACAGGTACAGCATCACTAATACCATTAATAATGTAAATAAAAGCCAGTTAAGACTAACTGTCACCAAACTGTGCGTGAACAAGTCATTAACCATCGTGACTAAAGTTATTTCCTGGTTTTCTATCTGTGACTTTACCTCTTCAATTCTGAATCCAGGTAATATACCCCGGTTAATCCTATAGCCACAGCACTTGTGAACTTGCGTGCCTGTAAGGTTGAGTGTATGTGGGGAAAAAGCATGTATAAGAGTGTTTCTGATAGCTTTGCTGTATATTTGTGCATGTGTGCATGTTAAACACAGTGTGGAAATGCCACAGGGTGTGGGTTTGGACTGTGTGATGAGCTCACTTGGCCCCAGGTTTGGATTTGATTGTCAATGTTGTGCTTTAATATTCTCCCTGCAGGACATATTTTAATGGTGCACTAATAGCAAGAGCAGATTGACTAAACCCCACCAGACTCCACTGCTGCCCCATTGTTTCCCTTATGCCCTTAACTTGTTCTTCAGACTGCAGCATTACTAGTACTCTTCAAATATTTTTTTATTTTATTTTATGAGAGGCTGGAATCATATACATATGCCAAATAAAATAGGTAAACAACAATAAGCGATGACAGTAACAATAAATAATGAAGTTAAAAGAGGAGAAAACATGACCTAAAACCATTTGACAACTGTTACACACTGAGAAAAAGCTTACAAAACTTGTCCACTTTTTGAGAAACACAGTGACTGAAGCCTGTAACAGGCTGGAAAGATCAAGCCTCTGGTTAGCAATAATTAGAACACAGGGGGTCTTTTATCAGGCCCTAGAGTGAAAAAAAAGGTATGGAGAGTTTTTAAATCTTTTTTTAATTCTGGTTAGGATCAAGGGGGCACCAGGAAAGGAGGGTCAGCAGGAACCATCACTAAAGGGTGCATTTGTAGACAACAATATCTTCATATTTTCTGAAAGTGAATTGCAAAATGTTGGAGGAGGGAAGACAAGCATCAGTGCAGATGTGCTCAATGGCACATTCACATTTGTTAAATAGGGATGTCTGTTAACATCTAACTCTCCACTAATAGGTTCTAATAAAAACACCTTCCAAATAGGTGAGTCTATGTAACATTATCATTTTTTTAAAATTACACTTTGATATGAATCAGCAAACCTTTGAAATTTGAATAAATGTGCAGCTATGGTCAACAAGGAATTTACAAGCTATTGAATAGCTACCTGCTTTAATGATGAAAGAAACATAAAATTTTAACAGCTAGTTTTGAAATGTAAAGTGTGTTAAAAGAGCTTGTTGCTTCAGCATGTTTCTCCATTCATTTGAGCAGGTCAATACTGCATAAATGTAATACAGCACTACGGTAAAACAGTTCGTTTAGCAAACAGAAAGCAGGGCATCCTTAAATACAAGATAAACTACCCCACAAGAAATTCAAAACATCTGGCCTGACACTTATGAAAGCCCAGAAATAAGGAATATGTGATTGGAAAATGTTAAAATGAAAAAGATAAAATATTCCATACTCCCAGTGTCAGGTAGAGTTTATATTCACATTTATATTCTTAGCAGAAGCACACAAATCACATTAAATGGCAAGAACCACAGAGAATGGCACAGAGAGCTGAAGATACATGACACCTGCTAAGCTAGGCCTCAGAATTTCATATAGCATGCTGAATTTAATGGTGTTGCTGGCTCTTGGTTCCCATAGAGAAAGCAAACAAGACAGAGAGAGAGAGGGCATCAGGGTGAGACAAGCGATTCGTAGACGGAGCAGAAATAACGTGCCACCACAAACCACTGTCATCCACTGTGAGTGCTCAAATTAGAGTCCACCACAAGTCTCCTTGTCAACTGTGAACTCCACTAACTTCCTACTGCCTTCTTAGCACAAGCCCTCCACCCAGAAGGAGAGAGAGAAGTTGTGTTCCAAAACTACGCTGCCTACATCAGAACCGTCACAGAACCACAGAAGTGTCCGATTTGGAATGCTCTACATTGTCAACAATTTATATGCCACATAAATAGCACTATGCACTGGAGAGACTCGGCTCAACTAGTTCCAATACAGTTTGAAGCATGAAAATACACAACTCACACAAATATTGCCACATTACAGAAATGAAACCCACACCGCACTTGTTTGATCTGCCATACGTGGGCTTGGAAATGCGAACGGATATACAGTGGGTACGGAAAGTATTCAGACCCCCTTAAATTTTTCACTCTTTGTTATATTGCAGCCATTTGCTAAAATCATTTAAGTTAATTTTTTTTCCTCATTAATGTACACACAGCACAGAGGCATTGGCCGGAAGAGTGAGAGGGATGGAGGTACGTAGATGGCGGGCTGCTTTCTGAAGTACTTTTAGGCTACTCTGTAGCTATGTTCCACTAACAAAGACAAATTGGTCAATGGAGGCTCGTTGGCCCTGGGAGAGACCCACGACCTTGACTTCAAACCAAGCTTCTCCGAGGGAGGTCGCTTCAGATATACACACACACACACATGTATACAAAAACACATTTTCAATGGCTAATCGGAGCCATGCGTACTGGTCGCTCTTTCACGCAAATTACTTGCGGTCGCATTACAGTAATGAAACCCACACCGCACCTGTTTGATCTACCGTACGAGGGCTTGGAAAAAATAGTACGAGCGGATGTACGTACACCCACACGCACAACAATGAATGTCTTCAATTACATATATACAGATTATGACGGCCCCCAAATTGAAAACGGCACACGATGTGGGACGTGCTGGATTATTCATTCAGGTATGCAGAGAGACAGCCCTCAGCTCATAATGATTGTGTGTACATGTTCCTTTGATATGCATGACGTGTGTTTATATAAAAATCCGACAAAGGGGGACAGGTTATGAGTGGAAAGCAGTGATTTGCCAATAAAAGGCTGAATTGGAGTTCATAGCTGCTGTGTTTATGCTGGGTCAGAAACTGGATGAGATTATAGTGCTGGAGCTGTAGTCTACTCAATTTTCTTCCATTTACGCCTCACAAACCATCTGTCACTGCCTCCTTTTCTTTCTCTAAGCGCACCATTTAATGGCTTATCTTCTACTCCACTTCTTTTGTCTCAACAACTCTCCTTCAATCTCTCTGTCTTCAGACAATGCTTATTTTTTCCTCTCTTTTGTTAGAATCTGATAACACTGCAAATATTTGCGAGATATATTTAAATAAGAATTGTATTAGACTGAAACTGTGTCGCATTGTTTATATATAAAAAAGTACTTTATGTATTGGGTTTCTGAACTTTCGATTCCAGGCCTTTGGTATTTTGAAGTAATACATCATTTCTCAAAGGATTTGTTTTTCTTCGCAGTCATAGCCACGGTGTCAGCTAATTTGAAAAATATATAAAAGCTGTATGGAAAAGCAGCCATAAATCTTTGCGGAGCCGGGTTAGGTGTGTTAGGTGAAGCGCGTGAGGGTGTGTATGTGTAGAGAGAGTGCGATTAGTGGTCATTGAGTATTACCAAAATCAATTTAATTTAATCATTTTGCCTTTTCTGTGTGTTCATTTCTCACATCTCTCTGCCGTTTTTTTGTCATTAATATTTCATGAAGTAACTTCTTCCCGACAGGTCCAAAGTCAATTTGAATAATGGGAAAACAGTGTGTTTGGAGTCAGGACAAAACTAGTAATAAGCAG